CTGAGGCAGAAGAATTACAAGTTTAGGCCAGCCTGGGCAATTTAGGGAGATCATGTCTCAAAAGGGTTGAGATATGGCTCAGTGGTAAAGCATCCTTGGATTCAATCCCTTCATACTAAAAAAAAAAAAAGAAGAAGAAGAAGAAGTTGCTCATCTAAATGACATTCTTGTTGTATAATTTTTTCCCTATGGTGTATTGCAGCTGTGGTAGTTAAATAATATAGTTGGCTCACTGTTAATGAATTAGCTAAGGAAAAATTATTGTTTTCTTGGAAATGCCGAGTGTTAAATATCTTTCAAAATGTTATTTTTTTTATTTGTTTTAATTAGTTACACATGACAGTACAATGATCTTGACATATCATGCATTTGAATCAAATGGGGTATAATTTCTCATTATACTGAGTGTACAGGTTGCAGAATCACATTGGTCATACAGTCATGTATATACATACAGCAATACTTGTGTCTATTTTATTCTGCTGTCCTTCCTATCCCCCCCATCACTTCTCTCTACCCAATCTAATGTGACACACTTTTTTTCCCCCTCACATCATCATACATGTAATCTGTATAATGATGTTATTGTTTTAATCACCTTTTTCATCACTGTGACCAAAAACACCTGACAAGAACAACTTAAGGAGAAAGGAAAGTTTATTTTGTCTCATGGCTTGAAAGGTTCAGTTCATAGTCAACTGACTCCATAGATCTGGGCCTGAGGTGAGGCAGGACATGGAAGAAGAGCGTGGCAGAAGGCGGCAGCTCAGGATATGGCAATCAGGAAGCAGAGAGAGCTCTTCTTACTAGGTACAAAATATAAACCCCAAAGTCACCCACCAGTGACTTACTTCCTCCAGCCACACCCTACCTACAGTTACCATCCAGTCAATCCATCAGTGGATTAAGATGCTGATTAAATTACAGCTCTCACTGTCTGAAAATTTTACCTCTGAACCTTCTTGCTTTGTGTCACATAAACTTTTAAACCTATATAATAGTTATTAAATTGTTTCAACTTTCTAACTTTAACCTGTTTCATTTAAAATCTTAAAAAATCACATAATGATAAAAAGCAAAGCATCAAATTTATAATTTTAAAATTAAATGGTATTCTGATTTTATTCAGTAATTGAAGACATTTCCTACCCTTAAAGAAAAAGTAAAATACTTATACATTAGCTCCCCCCTGCTGCTTGAACAAATTATTTCATTTACAAACATTTTGGCAACATTTTCCTGGCAGCATTATGTGAATTGGCTATTAGTTTCTTCCTTCTCCTTCCCCCACATGATAAATTTGAGATGTAAAAATCTACTAATTTTTTTTAATCCTAGTGAAATTTTCTAATGTTCATTTATATTTTTCCCAAGGAGATAACCTTGGGAAAAATTAACCACTACTTTAAACACCTTCAATTTCTCACATTAGGTTGTTTCTAGTTTCATCATTCATCTTAAAATATTTCCATTAAAACTTGTTTTAGATCTTGGGTATAGCTCAGTTGTAGCAGTTGCCTGGTACAAGTCAATGGATTCATCTCTCACACCACAAAAAGAAAAGAAAAAGAAAAAAATTGTGTTTTTTAAATATTTATATTTGTGTGATTTAAAAAAACTTAAGTGACTTAAGACTTTTATAATGTTTTTTTATAATGGTTGTAATGTGCCATTTTATCTGAAAAATTGTATTAGGAACAACTATTACAAGTGTCATACATATATTTCTTTTTCTTAGAAGGTACATGCGGAAATACATGTGAAGTACTGTCAGTTTCATTTATAATTGAGGCCTCTGTGTTTATGCTGGTTTTTCTTTTCTTGCCTACCATATCTCAATTTTCACAAAAGGAAACAGAATACTATATATTCAACCCAGCCTTTTATGCTCCTCTTATTTTTATCAATTGCTATAACTGATTTCTCTCCTTTTAAATTTTATTTATTTTTTAAATTTTTGGCATGAAAGTATACTTTGACTTTTAACTGTTCAGAAAATAATGGGGTTCTTGCTCTATATTAATAGTTCTCAAATGAAGATCAGGTTAAGATGTCAAATAGCAAGTACAGCTGTGGGATTTTTTTTTTCTAAATCTATCTTTCCCTGTACAAGTAAATATATTATTTTTGTTTAATTTACAAATATGTTATGACTCGGGAAGAAGAGCAGTATCATGCCTTAAGACATACTAAGGCAATATGTGTAAGAAAGTTTATTGCTCTAAAACTATAGTATTTATTTGGTATAGGAGATAACAGTGGGAGCCTATTGGGTAAGTTCATAAATTCTGAAGCCAGACTAGTTGAATGGAAATCTTTACTATGTTTCTTACTTTGTGACCTTGACAAGTTATTTAATAGTTTAATTTTTTAAATACTTCTTTTTATTTTTTTTTAGTTATCAATGGATCTTTTGTTTTATTTATTTATATGTGGTGCTGAGGATCAAACCCAGGGACTCACACTTGCCAGGCAAGCACTCTACCACTGAACCACAACTCCAGCACAGTTTAATTTCTTTTGTATCAACGTCCCTATCTGTAAGATAGAAAAAAAAATGTTAAAACATCACATGGGGCATAGTAATATAAAAATTTGTTATTTAGTAAAAATCAAAAGAAGTGTTGTCAAACTTCCTTTACCTGTCTACAACTATGATTATAATGTTTATTCACATAGAAATGTTTTTGAAGCATTTCAAGAACTTATGGAATATAGTGGCTTCTTAGTATTATGATCAATGTTATATGGTTAAATATTGTGTTAATCAGCTTTTCATCACTGTGACAAGATACTTGAACATGTCTTCATACATGTACTTGGGGTAATGATGTACATCTCATTCCACTGTCTTTCCTACCTGCCTTCCCCCTTCTTCCCCTCCCTCCCATTTGCCATATCTAAAGTTTCTCCATTCCTCCCATGCTTCCCTCCTATCCCCATTATGGATTAGCATCTTCATATCAGAGAAAACATTTGACATTTGTTTTTTTTGGGATTGGCTTACTTCACTTAGCATAGTATTTTCTAACTCCATACATTTCCCTGCAAATGCTATGGTTTTATTCTCTTTTAATGCTGAGTAATATTCCATTGTTTATATATAACAGTTTCTTTTTTCCAGTCATCTACTGAAGGGTATCTAGGTGGTTCCAAAATTTAGCTTTTGTGAATTGTGCTGCTAAAACATTGATGTGGGTGCATTACTGTAGCATGTTGTTTTTAAGTCCTTTGGGTATAAACCAAGGAGTGGGATAGCTGGGTCAAATGGTGGCTCCATACCCAGTTTTCCAAGGATTCTCCATACTGCTTTCCATATTGGTTGCACCAATTTGCAGTCCCACCAGCAATGTATGGGTGTGCCTTTCTCCCCACATCCTCACCAACACTTATTGTTTGTTTGTATTCTTAATAGTTGCCATTCTGACTGGAGTGAGATGGAATCTTAAGAGTAGTTTTGATTTGCATTTCTCTAATTGCTAGAGATGTTGAACATTTTTTTCATATATTTGTTGATTGATTTTATATCCTCTTCTGAGAAGTGTCTGTTCAGTTCCTTGGCCCGTTCATTGATTGGGTTATTTGTTTTGGTGTTAAGATTTCTGAGTTCTTTTTATATCCTAGAGATGAGTACTCTATCTGATGTGCAAGTGGTAAAAATTTGCTCCCATTCTGTATGTAGGCTCTCTCTTCACCTCACTGATTGTTTCTTTTGCTGAGAAGAAGCTTTTTAGTTTGAATCCATCCCATTTATTGATTTTTGATTTTATTTCTTGCTCTGTAGGAGTCTTTTTTTAATATTTATATATTTTTTAGCTGTAGTTGGACACAATATCTTTATTCCATTCATTTATTTTTATGTGGTGCTTAGGATTGAACCCAGGGCTCTGTCCATGCTAGGTAAGTGCTCAACTACTGAGCCACAATCCCAGACCCACTATAGGAGTCTTATTAAGGATGTTGGGGCCTAATCCAACATGATGAAGATTTATTTGGGTCTACTTTTTCTTCTATTAGGTGCAGGGTCTCTGGTTTAATTCCTAGGTCCTTGATTCACTTTGAGGTAAACTTTATGCATGGTGAGAGATAAGGCTTAATTTCATTTTGTTGCATATGGATTTCCAGTTTTTCCAGCACCATTTGGTGAAGAGGCTATCCTTTCTCCAATATGTTTTTGGCACTTTGGTCTGATATGAGATAACTGTATTTATGTGGGTTTGTCTTTGTGTCCTCTTTCTGTACCATTAGTCTACAAGTCTATTTTGGTGCCAATACCATGCCGTTTTTGTTACTATTGCTCTGTAGTATAAAGTCTGGTATAGTGATGCCACCTGCTTCACTCTTCTTGCCAGGGATTACTTTAGCTATTCTAGGTCTCTTTATTTTTCCAGATGAATTTCATGACTGCTTTTTCTATTTCTATGAGGAATGTCATTGGGATTTTGATTGGAATTGCAATAGTGCTTTTTGTAGTATGGTCATTTTGAAAATATTAATTCTGCCTATCCAAGAACATAGGAGATCTTTCCATCTTCTATGTCTTCTTTAACTTCTTTCTTTATTGTTCTGTAATTTTCAATGTTCACCACTTTCGTTAAATATTTTATTTTTTTGATGTTATAGTAAGTGGGGGTAGTTTCTCTTACACAGGATTTGTCATTGATGTACAGAAATGCCTTTGATTTATGGGTGTTGATTTTTATAGTCTGATACTTTGCCAAATTCATTTATTGGTTCTAGAAGTTTTCTGGTGGAATTTTTTGGATCTTCTAGGTATAGAATCATGTTGTTGGCAAATAGTGATAATTTGAGTTCTTCTTTTCCTATCCCTATCCCTTTAATTTCTTTCATCTGTAATTGCTCTGGCTAGAGTTTCAAGAACTCTGTTAAATAGAAGTGGTGAGAGAGGTCATCCCTGTCTTGTTCCAGTTTTTAGAGGTAATACTTTCAGTTTTTCTCCATTTAGAATGATGTTGGCCTGTGGATTAGCATAGATAGCTTAAAATATGGAATGCTTCATGAATTTGTGTGTCATCTTATGTAGGGGCCATGCTAATCTTCTCTGTATCGTTCCAGTTTTAGTATATGTGCTGCCCAAGTGAGCACTATACTCTACCTTTGAAGGTAACTTTCTTAAACTATTTGATAAAGTAAATTGGAGTTAGGATCTTCAGTTTAGTGCTTTTTCTAAGTTACCCAGATTTAATTCATGAGTAACAAAAATAGGCTAGTAATGACTGAACTATCATTGCAAATTAATAAGTATTAGACTTTAATATTTTGGAAAAACCAGATAATCAAAGCACAGAAAATCAAATTCTAAAGATGTCTCAAGGTTCTTAACTTTATTGTATATGAGAATCCTAAGTGTTTATTTAGAGTGTAGTCACTCTGGGTGTGGATCAAGAATATGAATTTTGGGCTGGAGATGTGGCTCAAGTGGTAGTGCGCTTGCCTGGCATGCATGCGGCCCGGGTTCGATCCTCAGCACCACATACAAACAAAGATGTTATGTCTGCCGAGAACTAAAAAATAAATATTAAAAAATTCTCTCTCTCTCTCTCTCTCTTAGTAAAAATTTATAATTTTTATATATTTTTTAAAAGGATCCCAAGTGTTTCTGGTGCTGGTGATCTGCAGACTGCATTTGGAAGAACACTGTTCTGAGACAGTGCTTTTTACAGAGCTTGTGATCTTGATCTGGATGACTCTTCTTTTAGTGTTGTCAAAAGAGAGCCTTGCCAGAATGTTGCTGTTTATATCAACTCTGTAGAAATTGAGATATTTTAGAATAAAGTTTGGAGCCTAGAATTACCAGTGACTAAACAATGCAAAGTTTATCCCTGTAAGGGGCAAGTCTTGATAACATCTCTAAACATTTGTATTATGCTGTAGATTTAAGGAAAATGATTCAAGGGTGTTTCCTTATTTTCATGTAATTTTCTTACCGCTGAACAAGCACATGGAGACCCATTGTAACTTGAAGTTCCTAATTTCTTGATAAAATTGAAGATATATTTTCTTGAGATCATTGAAAGAAGTTAGAGGGCTTTCAGCTTATGACTGGAGTCTGGTGATGGAAGGACAGGGTACTCATCTAGACTGCATATGTTTAAATCCAGTGTGGATCTGTCACCTGTCAGCTATCAACTGAACCGTCTCCCTTAGGCTCCAATTTTCCTGTCTGTCAGACTGGGTTAGTAATATTAATTACCTCATGAGGTTATGGTGACTAAATCAGGACATACATCTAAAACAATCACAACCTCTCCTGGTACAAAAAACTTACTTTTCCATTTAGATCCACTCTTCAAATTGGTCCTTGGCTCCAGTTTCATTACTTTGTAGTTTTTTTTCCCTCTTTTTTAGTCTAATATTCAGTGAAACTTTAAGGATATTTTATCTATTATTTTTCATTTTGGTCAATTTTATTAGTGTACAGTTTACAAAATATACATTGCAATGAGTTTTGACCAATGACCAATGTGTACAAAATTATAATTATATAACCATCATTTTTATAAGCTTATAGCCTTCTGTATTTCTATTTCACCTTTTTTAAGCAAACAGTATTAAATACATGTTTTATTGGCACTAACAAATCTACATCATTCTCATTAGTTGCTGTTGGTACCATTTTCATTGAGAACAGGTTGGTCCTCAGCATCTCATCTCTGAACTTTACTGCAGATGTTTTCCCTTTTTTTTCTAGGCAATTCTAGCCACCCTTGCATGTTGCCTTATTTCTTTCTGATCCAAGTACTACTCTTGCCTAAAGACAGATAAACTTCAACTGAATCCCTAATAGTTTCCCCAGTACCTCCTTTGTTTCTAGTTTCTACTACTGTGGCTTAGACCATTCTTTGTGATTTTTAATCTATTCTATACTTCAGTACACAATGCTGGGGGTTTTGTTTGTTTGTTTCCCCTCACTAATCTCTTAGAAGTTTCTTATGATTTCTGGTCTATTGGAAGTTGCCCATCAATATCTTCTACTTCAGCTATTGATTCCTTTTTTTCAAAAAATTACATTCTATAGAGCTTGGCTTTAAGATTGCACACCAGAACTTCTTGCTCATATCCAAGTGTAACTTGATATATATTGATTACTCATTACCACTGATTGTGTTCATTGTATATGAAATTTTACTGTGTATAGTATTCAGAATAATGACACATGGCTCAACATGTAAAAATAGCTCAAGTCTCTTTTCTCTTTTATTTATATTGTGGTTTGGGGATGGTGCTAAAGAAAATTAGATCAAGATAGCTTCTTTATAAATCTTAACAATATGTAAATAAATCACACTGAAACTTTTTGTCTATGGCCGGTCACCTTTTAGCATATTAAGAGGTAATGATAGACAAGAAAAAGAGCTCAGGAAGGACTAGCTTGGAAAATTAAACCTAGAAACTCTGGATGATACTGGCTCCAAGTCACAGCCTAAGATAGATTATTTGATGAAGGATTCTTTTTTTTTTTTTTTTTTTATGTGCTGTTTTTTCTTTTTTTTTTTTTAATTTTTTATTGTTGGCTGTTCAAAACATTACATAGTTCTTTATATATCATATTTCACACTTTGATTCAAGTGGGTTATGAGCTCCCATTTCTTAAAGTCAGCCTTTTCCCTTTTCTATCACTGTAAACACAAGACTTAAAAGGTGTCTCTAGAAATGTCCTTGCTGTTTGTTACTTTGTTTTATTGATTATAGTAACTAATATTATAACTGCTTGGAATCTGAGAGAGAAAGTATTGTGCTTTTGTAACTTGTAGAGCTATTCATCATAGAATCTGATCCTTAAAAATATGTGGGTGGGAGCCTTATTCTTTCTCTATTCCTCTCAACAACACTTCCCTGTCATTTCGTAGAGTGAAATTTTGTCAACCCAGCATGGACTTTAAAATTATGTAGCAATAACTTACAGGTGATTAAACTGAGACCCTAAAAGGAAATTAGGTCACATACATACATACATAGTAAACAGACATTTCTTTACCTTGGTCTGCCCCTTACTTTTTGTTGTTGTTGTTGTTGTTGTTGTTGTTTTGGGTACCAGGGATTGAACACAGGGGTGCTATCCAACTGATCCACATCTCCAACCCTTTTTTATATTTTTATCTAGAGACAGGGTCTCACTAAGTTGCTCATAGCCTTGCTAAGTTGCTGATGCTAGCTTTGAGTTTGTAATCCTCTGCCTTAGTTTCCTGAGCCACTGGGATTACAGGTGTGCCCCACTGGGCCTGGCATTGCCCAGCTCTTTTCTGACATGTTGGAAAGCCATTTTGTCCCAATTATATATAATTTATTTCTACAAATCTGTTTTAGAAAGTCAAACCTCTCTCTTTAGATCTTTGTTGGTCTTATACAGCTAAAGTTTAGTCAGGACTTTTTGGGCTACCTATACAATTGTTCCTATAGGGGAGGAAAATTATTTTTTATCTCCCAATCCTAGGTTCATGGCCAAAGCTGTTATAACAGAAGACATAGTAGCAAGAGAAAATCATATAGATTTACTTAACATAAGTTTCATGTGACAGAGGAGTCATCATATGTAAATGAAGAACTGAAGAAATAAATGGGTATTTTAGGTTAGATGGACGACTACAGAGTCATGGAGAAATAGGATAGGGCAAAGGAGATATGATCTAATGGTAACAGATTGGGGAAACTTAGCATGATGTGTTTGTTCATATTCTCTGTGACCCTTCATGTTCAATGATAAGGATGTTTCTTTCCCTCTTGTATAGGAAGGTACTTCCCCATTGAGAGTCTTATGACCTACTGTGGAGGAGGTCAGAAGATTCTTCCTAAGTTGTTTACCTGTTTCAGGGGAAAAGGGGAGGAGGAATGGCAGAGAAATCTTCCTGTTTCTGCTATTTTTCAATCTGTTAAGGTGGTATGTTTAGGGGTAGTGTGTCCTGAGCCCTATCATTCCTCTCCCCTAATCCTTCCAAATGTTTATTGAGCATCCTAAGAGAGAATATAATATCTTCTTTATTACGTTAGTAGTAGAAACAAAATAGAATCAGAGATTGAAGGCAGGGAGAAAGTTACCATGAATGGCATTATTTTATTTTACCCACCAGAAAAATAATAGGGCACTGGATTTGTTCATTCCATAATTTATGGCTGAACTTTAAATTTTATTTGATGAATTTAATAAAGTGAAGGGGATTTTGGTTTTGTCTTAAATCATAGGTAGTTATTTCCTAAAAAGAATTATTTTTGTCTTTGTGGATTTCTGGTGATGGGAGCAAGAGAAGGAGGACAGTGTATATTTGCTTTCTAACTGAAGTTTAATTTCTATTTTTGAATTTTATTTTAATATGAAATTTGTGAAATAAATTCCAAACTAATAATTACTAATAATATTGCTCATTTTTATACAACAGGATAGACATGATTCAGTTGATGCTGAAAGTATTTGCCATGTGTGGCACATGAATATAGAAGCCCTTCCAGAGTGGATAAATTGCCTAATACAAAAAGTAAGTTTCTTAGTTTCTGAATAAAATTAGAAATATGAAACCTTTAGAGAATTATTGTCTACTTTTAGAACTATTTTTCTTAGATGCATTGTTTTTTTTAAGATATTTGAAATATTGTGTTACTCTTTTCTTTAAAGTATTTAATTTTTTTTAGATATACATGACAGTAGAGTGTATTTTGGCATATTATATATACATGGAGTATAACTTATTCTAATTAGGATCCCGTTCTTGTGATTGTACATGATGTGGAGTTTCACTGATGGTGTACTCATATGTGAACACAGGAAAGTTTATTCCACTGCCTTTCCTATTTGTATCCCACCTTTATCTGTATTCCCCTTTGTCTAATCTACTGAACTTCTCTTCTTCCCCTCCCCGCTTGTTGTGTGTTAGCATCTGTATATCAGAGAGAACATTCAACTTTGTTTTTTGGGGATTGATTTATTTCACTTAGCATCATAGTTTCAGATCCATTCATTTATAGGCAAAAGTCATAAAGATATTCTTTCTTATGGCTGAGTAATATTCTATTGTGTGTGTATATATACGTATATATGTGTATATATGTGTGTATTTTGTATATATATATATATGTGTGTGTGTGTGTGTGTG